ACCCCGTGCTCTGCCCCCCAGGGGGCCTGGGTGGTTCCTTCCTGTGTTCCACCTCTTGATCCAACCTGATTGGGTCAGAATGAGCCCCAGGCATTCAATCGATGGCCTGGCCTGGAAGTCCTGTATCTCAGGAATGACGGGGTTGAGTCGTTCGTGTTCTTGCACAGGAATTTCGACTGAAGAAATGGCCGGAATCAGGCAGTTGCAAGTAGAATCTTAGGTGAAAGGTTCTCAGAGATAAGGCAGTGTGCCAAATCACGAAGCACTACAGGTCACGAGTAAGTAAAGGCCACGAAGTCAGGGAGTCAGGCTGGAAGAAAGGGAGCGTTGTTAGTTGGAAGCAGCCGATGGAGAGTTGAAACTCTCTAACAGCAGAGAATAATCTAGACAATCCAATCACTGGAGCTATATTGGGTTATTACAATTTCTGAACTGAAATGTAAGACTCAGCCGACCATTTCCATGACGTCTGGCTATGACACGTGTATCCCCACAGTAACACCCCCTACCCCCCCCCCCCCCCCCCCAAAAAAACTTAAGGAAACAGAAGAGAGTATCTTTCCTTGCATGCCAAGGAATCTAACACACAACATGTATCTGAGGTTTATGTAACTTTTTTCTTTCAGTTTTATTGAGATATAATCGACATACATCATCATAAAAATTTAAGGTGGACAGCATAATGACTTATGCATATTGTGAAATGGTTCCCACAATAAGTTTAGTTAACATCAATCATCTCGCATAGATACAACGACAAAAAAAGAAAAAATTTTTTTCTTGTGATGAGAATTTTATGATATATTCTCTTAGCAACTTTCAAATTTATATCTGAAACTTTCAAATGACAACTATAGTCACTGTACATTGAGTTAAATCCTCAGTACTCATTTATCTTATAACTGGAAGTTTGTACCTTTTGGCCACCTTCATCCAATTCCTTCACCCCCCGTCTCCCACCTCTGGTAATCACAAGTCTGATCTCTTCTTCTATGAGTTTGAGTTTTTTGGTTTTTGGTTTCTTTTAGTCCACATATAAGTGAGATCATATGGTATTTTTCTTTCTCTGCCTGACTTATCTCACTTAGCATAATGTCCTCAAGGTCTAGCCATGTCACAACAGCAGGATTTCCTTCCTTTTTAATGGCTGAATAGTATTCCGTTGTGTGTGTGTGTGTGTGTGTGTGTGTGTGTGTGTTTGTATCTCACAACCTCTTTATCCATTATCTGTTGATGCACCCTTAGGTTGTTTCCATGTCTTGGCTGTCATGAATGATGCTGCAATGAACATGGAGGTGCAGACATCTCTTCAATATACTGATTTCATTTCCTTTGGATATGTACCCAGAAGGAGAATTGCTGGATCATATGGTAGTCCCATTTTTTATTTTTGGAGGAACCTCCATACTGTTTTCCATAGTGGCTGCACTAATATATAATCCCACCAACAATGCACCAGGGCGCCCTTTTCTCCACATCCTTGCCAGCATTTATCTCTCTTTTTTTTTTTTTTTTTTTGGTACGGGGCCCTCTCTCTTTTGGCCCCTCCCGTTGCAGAGCACAGGCTCCGGATGCGCAGGCTCAGCAGCCATGGCTCACGGGCCCAGCCGCTCCGCGGCATGTGGGATCTTCCCGGACCAGGGCACGAACCCGTGACCCCTGCATCGGCAGGCGGACTCTCAACCACTGCGCCACCAGGGAAGCCCTGCCTTTGACTTTTTAGTTTATCTTCATAATGGATGTAGACCATTTTTAAAGTCTTTACTGAATTTGTTACAATATTGCTTCTGTTTTTTATTTTATGTTTTGGCTTTTTGGCCGTGAGACATGTGGGATCTTAGCTCCCCGACCAGGGATGGAACCTGCACTCCCTGCACTGGAAGGCAAAGTCTGAACCACTGGACCGCCAGGGAAGTCCCTATCTTCATAATGGATGGACGAGGGGAAGACGATTTAGCTCAGATATTAAGTCACAGCTAAATTTAGAGTAGATTTTCTTCTCTTTCTCTTTCTCTCTAAGAAATCAGCTTACTCTTATCCTTAGATTCTTCCTTCCTCCACCCAAAGATTGAAAAGTAGCTTCACACTAGGGACTTTTTAGAGTTAACACAGATCTGGTTTGGCTAAGATACTCTTTCCAGGAGCAAACATGGACCGTTTGAACTGTTTTTGTTTGTCCACACACTTATGCTCTTTGTTGGTCGTAGCCAGAGCTCCCTGAGGATCAGGGAGTGCAAGTGTATATCCTCCCTCTTTTCAATTTAGCCTTGCCCTTGCGTGGAAGTAATTGCTTCTTTGTTTTAGCGATAGAACCTCCCTGAGTTGTAGCTGGACATATGGCTACCCGGTTGAAGACTGTATTTCATAGTCGCCTGTGTGGTAGGTGTGCCCATATGATTCAGTTTCCCACCATAAAATGTGAGCAGAGTGATATTCACAGGGTCTGTGGCAATTCCTCAAAAGGAACTGACCTGCCCTCCCTTTTCTCTTTGGCGTCCTTCCAGCCAGATGGGACCTTGGTTAATAAGCTCCACCCCTGCAGTTGAGGGCAGAGTAATGAGAGGGAAGGGAGTGGACTCTTGAGAGAACCTGTTGGAGCAGGACCACCTACTCGCAGGAGAACCTCTGGGCTGTTACAGGTGAGAGCAGGCAACGTGTCTTCCCGTGTCAGCTCTTCTATGTTTGAATTTCTCCGTTACAACTGCCCAGTCTGTACCCCAACCAGTACACAGTGGTGGACACTAAGTGCTCAGGAACCTCACTGAGTGATGAATAGGTGTTATGTCACTTGATCTTCTAGCAACCACCCCTAAATAGATACTACTTGCCCATTTTACAGATGTGCAAACAGACTTAGGAAGGCGAGGTGACTTGCCCAAGATCACACGGCTGTAAGTGGTAGAAGGAACTTGGACCCGGCTCTGAAGTGCTTCGAAACACGTATCCTTAATTGCTGTGCCCTCGCGTCTCTTGATATTACTGTTCACTCTTTTTTCTAAGAGAATATTCGAAGTATTCTTCTCTGCCAATTTAAAGTTTCAGTATGTTACACATCGCGACTCTGGGCTCTACTGCTTCTCTGCTTGGTTTGGTGTAGATTGCTCACTTTATTCTGCTGTTTTTGGGAGGTGGGGGTGGGAGCGAGGACCATCCTTTAGTTTTGAATACATTCATTTTGCCTCATTCATTAGACTGTAAATCCCTAAGGGGATAGTGCTAGTGACACATGCTAAGTAAATGACGGTTACACGTCTAAAGAGAAAAGATATGTCTGGTCTTCCAGAATGATGCAGTATTCTCTTGTGTGATGTTTTTCTCACGGGTGTATAAATTCTGTTGTTAATCAGTCCTGGTGAAAACCAACCCCCATTTAAAATACATTTTTATGGCAGAATATTTGAATAGAGGTAACACTGGAAGAGATGATTTTGAATAAGGAACGATGCCCATTCTACTTATTCTAAATATAAGCAGGTGGAATTTAAAATTTTCATAATGACACTTCAGCCAGATGTTAGATTCATGATCATTCTGCCACGTATGAGTTCGTGTGAAGTTTGCTGCATGATTAAAGAAAGTTCAAAATAATAGTGCTTCAGATAAGATGTATTATTTTTTTTTCTAACATGAGAAAGGTCTGGAGGTGGGCAGCTGAGGACTGGTATGGTGGCTTCGTGGTCACTGGATGCTCAAGCTCCTTCTAACTTTTTCCTCCCAAATCCCTGAAAATGGTTTCCATTCTAAAGGTTCCCTCCTGGTTACCAAGAGCCCTGGTAGAGACAACCATTGTTTCAGAGTTGCAGGCAGTAGGATGGGGAGGGGGCAAAGGGCCTTTACCTTCCTTTTCCCTCTTAAAGACCTCTTCCAGAATTTTCACTAAATGAACCTCCACCTCACTGGTCAGAACCTAGCTCTACCTAGTTACAGAGCTGCCCAAGTAAAATCAGGGTTTTGTCTTGTTTTTAAGGAAGAAGGAGAAGGGTCAATGTTAGGTAGACTGCCTGCCTTCTAATTAGAAAATTCCCACCATTCTAGATCGGGGTGGCGAACTATGGTCCATGGGCCAAATCTGGCCTGCAGCCTGGTTTTTAAATTTATTCTTATTTCTTATTTTTAATAGCTCATTTCCGGTTACCACAGCAGAGCTGAGTATTTGTTACAGAGATTGTAGAGCCCACAAATCTAAAATATTTCCTGTCTGGTCCTCATTAGAAAAAGTGTGCCAACCCCTGTTCTTCTAAATCATGGGGGATGGATTCTGAGGAATGAATGGTTTCATTCCTTGGGGTGCTATTCCAGGAGCAGCATGGAGCTTAATATGAATTCAATAATAATCTGTTCTTCTCCAGCCCCAAGTGAAGTTGTATCCATTAAGCATATGTTTGCCTGCAAGTACCATAAAACCTGACTAGTGGCAGATGAAACAAAAAGAAGTGTATTTATCTTGGATACAAAGAAGTCCAGAAGTATGTGGTCCAGGATTGGTACAGATGCTGAATGATGCTTTCCAAATGGGTTCTTTTTTTTTTTCTCCCCAGCCATGCCGAGAATGTTGGCTTTCTTCTCATGCTTATTGTAACACGGCTACAGCACCTAAAGGTGTAATGTCTGCATCCTGCATAGGAAGAAAGGGAAGGTGCCAAAGGGGGCATGAGTCCGTCCCCCTTCCAGAAACTTCCCCAGGGTCCTCATTGGCCAGGACTATGTCTCATGACCACCGCTAGCAGCAGAGGATGCTGGGATGATGAGAATAGAAATTGGGCGCATCACTGGGGCAGACACATGGAGGTTGTGTTGGAAAGGGAGACGTGGAGACAAGAGTGGTGTGTGCTGTGTAGGGCCCCCCGCAACTAATGTGGGTCCCTCTAGAGGTATTACCTTTGTTAGAGTCTCTCCTTTCCTACCTGCCTTTGCCTGTCACAGTTCCCAAAATTAATTAATTAATTAAGATTAATGAATTAATCTTGTTCTTTTCACCTCCCTTTTGTATTCTCGGCTAGGTGAGAAACCTGGAAGTGAGCCTGAAGAGGCGAAGCTGCAGATCGCCAGCAAACAGATCGTGCAGAATGCCATCCTGCGGGCTGTGCAGCAGGTCTCCCGGGAGATTCGGCAGGGGGAAGCCGGGGCTGGCGACACCCCCCGGGGCAGCTTCCGGCCGGGCGCGGGGGAATTAACCAAGAAGCATGAAAAGAAGTAACACGGTGGATGGGGCTCTTGTCACACGCTTGGTTTCCAGCCTTTTTTTTAGCATAGGATGCGTTGCCAAAAATGTTGCCAGTAAAGCAGACCAAAGTGTCAGCGACACCTAGCAGTAGGATGAATTCACACTAGGCCTTGGCCGAGAAGCACTGTTCTGCAAAAGTGCATTAGATGATTCTGTTTATATTAATGCAGTGCCTCTGAAACGTAGTCGGGCCAAACATGACACTGTCATGGCAAAAGTAGTTCTGCAGCACAATTCATTTCTAAAGTTCGTTTTTTTTTTTTTTTTTAATGATTCCCTATGTTTATTTACTTTGGCCTTGTATGCATTCTGTCTGTGACCTTAACCAGCAGTTCTTTCTGCTGAAACACCGAGAGCTGTACTGTGATCTTTATAATATTTAAACAAGATGTGCTGGAAAGGTAAAGGAGTGGTGTTACAGTCCTCCTCAGATATGGAATGGAAGGCTTTACTAAAGTGGGTTCAGGTCCAAGATCATATTAAGCAAAGGCAAATTCTAAGTCCCTCAGGATCTTACCAAAGCATGTATTTATAATTGTTTTTTTAAAAAGGAGGAACCCAGCTTTTCCAGAACTCAGTCTCAGTTCTGTCAGTTGTTTGATAGTTAATGTTTCCTCTCTGTGCAGAAATCCTTGGGAAATATTATGGATTTCTTTTTCCATTTCAAGATGAAAATAAGACAGGTGAATCTAAATGCATGAGTCGCTGATGTCGGCAGCCCCTTGAAGAGAAACTGGAGTTGTAGATTCCATCTTGGAGATATCCTAGGGTCAGCTTATGGGGTGCAGCGTCCTTGGAAGGAGCTCTGGGGACTTATAAATGCTGTGTTGCCATCAGACTAGGTAGGCACTTGCACTAGTACCTTGCTAATAGGAACTTTTCTTTTCCCATCCACAAATTAGATTTTTTTTTTGAGATTATGAAAATCATACATATCAGGAATGAATGACACATAAAATGGGAAAATCATTTCCTCAACTGAAACATGAAAATACGGTGGGATCAACAAAGCGACCATGCTGTGAAAGCAGTCATGGGAGCATATGTGTGTGAATGAATAAAGCCATCTCTGTTGCAACAGAATGACTTCCGCTCCACTCTCATGTGGGTACCGCACAGCTTTCTGTGTCCTTAGAGTCCCATTTCCTGGGTTTCCCAACAGTTACTAAGTTGATGCTACTGGGAACAGATGAAGAATTTGACCTTTGTTAGAAATTTTTGGGCTTCAGAGTATCAATGTTTACGTTTGATAGTTTTTTAAAAAGCAAAGTATCAACATATGAAGTGTGACTGATATTAAGACATACTTCTAGAATTCCAATATGTTACACTTTCCAGAATGAATACTATTGAGAAATAAATGAAAACAATCTCTTATCAGTTCTGTTAGACTGTCTCACACCGTGTACAGATGGAATAAATTCACAGGGAGAATGTCTGTGGGAGGGAGCAGAGGGGTTAACATTTAAATATGGTTTGTTCATAATTTTCTTTAAGTAGTACTCATGACAATTGAAGGATGAGTTTAAGTTGACCTGAAGTCATATAATGGATGTGATATAATTGTACAGCCTAGATAATAGGAATGAAGATATTAAGGGAAATTATTCAGGAGTACCCACAAATAACAAAATAAACCCAATGCTTGTAATTTGCAAGTGATCTGGCACTCTGTTTACTGAGCTGTCTGGATATAACCAGCCTTGGCTTTTGCTGCCGTATGTCAGAAACACATAAACACGTTCTCTTTCCTCTCTGGTGTGTCTGTGCTAGTATGTTGGGGATCTTGGAGAATATCTGATTAACCTCTGTATCTAAATGTTATTTATAAATAAAATATATCCAGCTTTGAAATACGTTGTCATTTATAGCCAAGTTTTCTTTGCCCTACTCTTTGGTCCTTTCACATGGGGCTACGAGGCATCCCAAGGCTGTTCTAAACCTCTAGATCTCGTGACCCTGAAAGCACTTCTTAATAGGCCTTCACTGTCACTGTCTGAGGACAGCTGTGGGATGGGGGTTCCTGAGGCTTGAGCAGAAAAGGATGCGTGCTAAGAAGTGGCCTTTTGATCTCAGGAAGTAAAGGTAAGTAGATGGGGGAAAGCCGAGTGTCTTTCATGATCTTTGTGAGATGGAAAGTCTCCAGCAAGAAACAGAGATACTGATAAGTTCTTGGAAGGAGAAAAGAAAGTCAATCCCTGCACTCGACAGGTAGGTGCCGCATCGGCAGAATCCTAAGAAAACTCAGCCATAAAAATAAATGCATCTGTTAAACTCCTCCTTACATCTGCCTTGGTATAAAGTTATGGGGTTTTGAAGGGGCCGACAGAACTTCATTCGGCGTAGGATCAAGGTGGGCTGCCCCTTGGTTATTACATGAACCAGCACAGAGCTTTTGGTTTTAGGAATGAGTGGGAACATGTATTTCATGCCCTTTACCTTCCTGGCTTAATAGATAGTAAATGCACGTGGGCTTCCCAGCTCTGCATGTTCAGCTGTTTGTCTTGGGCTTTGCCTGTCCCTGGGGTGGAACTGGAGACAATTCTTTTCTGCTGCTTTGTTTTTCTGTAGTCACCTACCCAGCGTGAAGAGTGTTGTAAGAAGAACTCACCGCTTCATCCTTGTTTCTCTTTTAGCTGCTCAGTCTTCCTTTATGGTGTGGTTTCAGGTTACAAATAAATGAATGAACATTTAAAGATAATCACTGAACTTATGCCGTTCAGGCTATATTCAAGGTTTAAGGTCTCTATAAAAAAACTACAGAAAGGAGGGAATTTTACATTTATCCACAGTAGCAACTTTTCTAAGTAAAATACAGTAGAGAATTAAATCTCTGAAAAATCTGGTAACTTGTTCAGCAACTCTAGTACCCAAACTGGTAAAGAAACGAAATACTCCAGTTTGAGTAATTTGTCAGTTTATGTAAAGAGAAAGTAGAAAATACCATAATAATATCAGCTCTCTTGGGTGTGAGAAAGTTTTCTGAAATATATGACTACACACTAACTCACGTATCTCATTGTCACAACTTCATAATTAAGGTGTAGCTGGGAAGATTTTATTCTCCTTTTGCAGAGGAAGTCACACTGAATCTCAGAGAGGGTAAGTATGAAAAGTGAGTACTATTGGGTGTAAGAATACACACATCAGCATCACTGATCTTTGTGGGCATATGCATTAGGTAGGGAGCTTAAGAATATCAATTCCAGGGATATCTATGTTAAGATGGAACAGACTGCCTTACAGAATCAGAAATGTAACACATAGTAAAGGGCCAGCAAAAATCATTATCAGGAGCAAAAGCTCAATGCCATCACCCTTGAAAAGTGGCAGCAAAGAAAAGAAACGAGAGACTCCAGAAGTAACAAAATAGAAAATCACAACAGAGCATGTGAAGTTGCTTCTCTTCCCCTTAGGCCTCAGCAGTTGCAGAATCCTGACCCAGATGTGGAGAAAGGTGAATGAGGAGGTGACATTACTGTTTGTCTTCTGGCTGCAGTGTAGGGGAAATGACCATTGGGAAGAAATAGGCGAAACAGGAAAAAGGACTCCTTTCAGAAAGAAGTGACGACCTGGTCTTACAGAAATGAAAAAAGAAAGAAAATACATGTTAAAAAATCCCCTCATGGGGGGGGGTGGAATGAATTGGGAGATTGGGATTGACATATATAAACTATTGATACTATGTATAACATAGATAACTAATGAGAACCTACTGTATAGCTTAGGGAACTCAGTGCTCTGTGGCGACCTAAATGGGAAGGAAATCCAAAAAAAGAGGGGATATGTGTATATGTATAATTGATTCACTTTGCTGTACAGCAGAAACTAACACAATATTGTAAAGCAACTATACTCCAATAAAAATTAACTTAAAAACAAAAAATAAGAAATCCCCTCATACTCTAGGAAAATGGATACAAATGCTCCACAGCAATATTTCGAAGAATAAAAGAAAAATTCTTGAAAATTCTGGGCTGAGACCTAGTCCTTTACAAAGGTAAAACTTCAGGCTGGCATCAGACTACTTCATAGCAGCATGTGACAACCTAACATAAGGGAGAAAGGCTACAGAGTAGCTCTGAAGGAAGGAAAGTGTGAAGGAAGGGTATTATTCCCAGCCAAGATGTCACTCAAGAACAAAGGCAAGCATAAAAAAAAAAAATCGTACTCAAGGGCCCTTCTTTGAAAAACTGCTTGGCCGGGAACTTCAGCCAACTAAAAAGATAAATCGAAATAAAGAATCTAGGTGAGGGGCTTTCCTGGTGGTGCAGGGGTTGAGAGCCTGCCTGCTGATGCAGGGGACGCGGGTTTGTGCCCCGGTCCGGGAAGATCCAACATGCCGCGGAGCGGCTGGGCCCGTGAGCCATGGACGCTGAGCCTGCGCATCCGGAGCCTGTGCTCCGCAGCGGGAGAGGCCACAACAGTGAGAGGCCCGCTTAACGCAAAAAAAAAAAATCTACGTGTAGGGAAACTGCAGTAGAAGGACTGGTAAGGAGCAGTGCTTTCACTTAAATATCAAATGAACCTGATATAATTGCAAACGTTGGGCTAAAGAAAAGTGTATTGTTCTATCTTGACAGTATAGAAATGTAACTTACAAAAATCAGGAGATGGGGCAAGGGAAATATCGTGCTAATGACTTCATCTGTTAGAGGAAGAGAATTTATCTGATCTTAAGTTGAATGATCTAGTTTAAAAAACCCCAAGGATTCCAATGTCTTAATTGATTTCATAATTTCTCTCCTTAACCCTTGAGGAATGTATTAGAAAATAATATCTTATGATAAAGATTTATTTAAGGTGTAGGAATTCCTTTAGTTTCCATTTAGTTTCTTTTTCTTTCATTACATTAAAAATGAATTGTTATATATATAAATTCCCTTGTTACCACACGTGACAACTATTCGCTCATTCTTCCGTTGAAACTGATCACAAGACTTGCAGCTGTGAAGACCCAGGCTGACCTTCCCTTGGGAAAAGTAATTCTGTTGATTATGCCTAGGCCACAGATGGTCCATGGTCTAAGTAATAAAAGAAGAAAAGAATAACTTTATTTACATACTGCTTTTATTTTTTTACTTTTCTATTTTTTTAATTGTTTTTCTTTTTTTAAATTGAAGTATAGTTGATTTACAATGTTGTGTTAGTTTCAGGTGTACAGCACAGTGATTCATTTATGCATATATATATGTATATATTCTTTTTCAGATTCTTTTCCCTTATAGGTTATTACAAAATATTGAGTTCCCTGTGCTATACAGTAGGTCCTTGTTGATTATCTATTTTATATATAGTAGTGTGTAGATGTTAATCCCAAACTTCTAATTTATCCCCCCACCCCTTTCCCCTTTAGGAACCATAGTTTCTATTCTGTCTGTGGGTCTATTTCTGTTTTGTAAATAAGTTCATTTGTATCTTTTTTTTTTTTTTTTACATTCCACATACAAGTGATATCATATGATATCTTCTTCTGTCTGGCTTACTTCACTTAGTATGATAATCTCTAGGTTCATCCATGTTGCTGCAAATGGCACTTCATTGTTTATTATGGCTAATATTCCATTGTATAAATATACCAATCTTCTTTATCCATTCATCTGTCCATGGACATTTAGGCTGCTTCCATGTCTTGGCTATTGTAAACAGTGCTGCAATGAACATGGGGGTGCAAGTATCTTTTCAAATTATAGTTTTCTCCAGATATATGCCCAGGAGTGGGATTACTGGGTCATAGTGTAGTTCAATTTTTAGTTTTTTAAGGAATCTTCATACTGTTCTCTATAGTGGCTACACCAATTTACATTCCCACCAACAGTGTAGGAGGGTTCCCTTTTCTCCACACCCTCTCCAGCATTAATTTGTAGACTTTTTGATGGTGGCCATTCTGACTGGTGCGAGATGGTACCTCATTGTAGTTTGGATCTGCATTTCTCTAATGATTAGTGATGTTGAGCATCTTTTCCTGTGCCTGTTGG